AAGTTGCCTTGGACCAACAGGTTGACTTCGGGCCTATTTGGGGGTAGTTTTTTGTGCGAGGCTCTTTTTGATAACTCTAATTCTGTCGTTTGGATATAGCGGCACGACAGCATTTTGGGGTAATTGATGTAAAATGCGACCGTGCGGCCCGCATCTCTTGTCGTGTTTTTTACCCCACGGTCCCTGACTCTTTCTCTCGCGTTTCTTCTCTCACTTGACCCCGCTACCTCTCTCGCAATTCTCCTGCCCTAGGTACCTCTCTCCCTTGCATCCGTCGCTCCAATGGCTAGGTGTGTTTCCGGTTGCCTCTTGTGGTTGTTTTGATGACCCTTACATATTTCTCCCTATTTTCTTTTCTTCCGCTCGATTTGGTAGTTTTGCGCACTTTGTGCTCTATGTGGTGGTTACATTTTTTTGGTTGGTGGTTATTACGATGAGCTTTTTATTCTCTATTTCCCTCGCCCTTCTCTTCTTCAGCTTGGTTTGGTGGTTGTGCGCATTACGGGCTCTGTGCGGTATTCCCTCTTCTACCTTTCTTCTCTGTTCTTCACCTCTTGCGCATTATGGTTGTTGGTTTTGTTTTCTTGATTTATCTGTTTGATGGTTTATGGTTTGACATGCTCAGTTGATGATTTTGACGCTTCATGTTAAATCCATGATGGACTAGGTTTATGCTTTTGAAGCTCTATGATTTGCGATTTCAGTTGACAATGTTGCTCAGATTGGTGCTTTATGGAGCTTTGGATTTGGTGCTTGATTTGTTGTTAGCAATGGTTCATGTGCCTTGTATGTGGTTTGTGGATTTAATCTATTTGTTTTGGTTTTATTGGGACAATTACATACCTAGCAACCTAAGCTGTGCTTCTCGATATCTTTGTTGTGTATGGCTTGTGGTTTGCGCTTTCTTTTTTGTTTTGGGAGAATACATACATAGTTCTCAAAACATTTTTTCATGGTGGCTTTGCCCTATTTGGTTTCTAGCACTGGATTTATTACGGAAAAATATGGCATTTTTTCATGAATTTTGATATTTCAATGGGAATTTGAAAAATGGATGAAAGTTGGTGCGAGATTTGTTAATAACAATATTTTGGGTGTTGTGTATGTGTTGAATATAAGTTGAAATTTTAACATGAATTTGGATATTTGATTGAGAATTTGAAAAATGGATAAAATATGGCGCTGAATTCGTTAATAACAATGATTCTGGTGCTGTATGTTTTAAATATGGGTTGAGATTTTATCATTGATTTTCTTATAATAGTAAGAAAATGATAAATAGATGAAAGGTGGTGCTGCATTTGTTAATAATAATGTTTCAGGTGTTGTGTATGTTTTGATAAGACTTATAAAATAGATGTTAAATGGGTATGTTGCTATGCCCTTTGATTTCTTATGATTGTTTTTGCCTTCTTCTGTGGTTCCCCCTATTTGTGTGGAGGAGTGTGGTTGGTGTGTAGAGGTGGTGGTGTCTATGTGGAGGTGTCGGCGTGTGGTTGTGAATGTGGTGGTTAGTGTGTGGTTGTGTTTGTGTTTGGAGGTGGTGTGGTGGATGTATTGGTGTCTTGATGTGCCAGTGTGTGGAGGTGTTGGTGTGCAATTTGTGGTGTCTAGTGGATATGTTGGTGTCTCTGTGGTGTTTGTGTCGTGTCTGTGTGGTGGTGTGTGGAGATGGTGGTGTGTGTGGAGGTTTTGGTATGTGGTTGTGGACGTGGTGGTGGTGGTATGGTGGATGTATTGGTGTCTTGATGTGTCAGTGTGTGGAGGTGTTGGTGTCAATATGGCGGTGCCTGGTGGAATTGTTGGTGTCTGGTGGTGTCTGTGTGTTGGTGTGTGGAGGTGGTGTCTGTGTAGAGGTGTTAGTGTGT